ACGTGACCTAAACAGCCCCCCACACAGCGACCCACTTCTATAACCTTTAAAAATGAAAAAGAGAAACAGCAAATTCATTAACATTAAAACTGTCTCAAAGTTTTTGGTTGTATCAAAAGAGAAATCATAAATTGAAAGAATTAAAAGCCATTTTTAATTGATTTCCTTCACCTTTGTACTGTTTGTGCTATTGTGGTGAACTTGAATGGCCTCTTTGTGTGAGACTCGATAAGTTTTCTTTCACACGAACATGATCGAACCACTTGAACACATTTGGGCCCTAGAATTCATCATATCGAGGACAGAGGTTACTCACAAACGCTGCTACGTATGTCGGTGTACAAAAAAATCCTCAAAGATAAGCCCTTTATCATCATCAGACAATCTGAAGACAAGCTACTAGCAACTACTAACTATTCTCTAACTTGATGAAAGCTTCTAAATAATAAGAATCTCTGAACTGGGTTACTATACCGTTTATAGAGCTGGTTCCAACATAGTGTAAACCAGTTATATCCCTTTTACCAAGCTATGGAGTGTTGACTTTGTTGTCACTCTAACCTTTTAAATCTGTGCACAAACTCCTGTGGTGTTACCATTCATACATTATATGACACATCTTTATTCCAGCTTATTTGGAATTTTTTGTGAATTTCTTACTTTCGTCTTATCAGGAGTGAAAGCGTTTAAAGAGGCAGTGAAATCCACGAGAATGTTTTCGAGTTTTCGAATAAACATGGCCACTAGAAATTATGACTGGTACACTCGCTGAAAACCTACATTAACAGAAAGTGTTCCCGAATAGTGACATGGTAATAACTGATTACACTGGTCCGTTTACACTTGCCATAAGATATTACATCTTGACTGCTTTTGACTCTGCAATTCTGAATCCTCCGCAGAAACGTCTTTTTAAGCAGAGTCCGATATACATGTTTATAGAACAGCTATCTGGTATTTTAACTTAACCATTCGGTCCAACAACTGTCACAGACTTAAAAGATGTTGGCTTGCAACTAATGTCACAGGAACCTGCTGGGAAAGTTCATAAGGTACAAATGCAAATTACATAATGCAGTCTGTGTATTGAAGTACTGCCTGTCTTGGGCATGAAAAAAGGAAGGCGTCCCCTCTCTGGGAAAATTCTTTCTTGTTTGTGACGAACGGTATGTATGGGGGAATGGTAGTGTTGGTTTTGTCGGTATCATTTACTTGTCGATGTCTTCATCGTTATCATATCATTCTTCTTGTTTTTGTGTCAATTCGTCATCGTGATTCTCAGGTCCGGTGAAAAGTCAACATTATTGCTGCTCAGATCTTTAATTCTAAGACGAGGACGACTACGAGAACGAGATTTTCTCAATACTTAGTAGCGTGCTTGAATGAACCAGCGTCATTTTGGCGGGAAAACGCGATAGCCGTCATTTCTAATACAGGTTTTAGCGAAAATGACGTAGTGGCAGAAACAAGTCACAGTCGACTCCCAATAAAGGAAGGAAGGAAGGAAGGTACGGTCAGCGGTCAGCGAGCATGATGGCCGCGTTTTTTGTTGGCTCTGCCAGCTTGACATAATTTCTTACGTAAATCTTACTTTTTCTTTTACAAACTAATCAAACAAGTAACAAACAATGTCTTCAAAAAGAGGAAAGCAAAAAGAAATTGTGGAAGAGGATTTTGAGGCGTTCGTACGCCACCGGTTGAGTTCAATAAGTGACGACCTAAAAGAAATGAAAGGAACTCAAGTCAAGATTCAAAGAGACATTGAATCTCTACAGGGTCAAATCAAGAAAAATGAAAGCTCGATTTCAAAACTGAAGGAATCTTTGGATACAAAGCTGGAGGTATTAACTGGACAACTGCATGAAGCTAAGACAAGAATCGACCAAATCGAGAACGATATCACCAAGTATGCAAAAGAGATCGATGACACCTACGAGAGATTGTTGTCCCTGGGGAGATATTCTAGGGACTACAATCTGAGATTTTACAACATCCCAGAATCAACAGGCGAAGATTGTATTGCAAAGCTCCGTGATATCATAGAAAATGATCTCCAATTGCAATCAAACATCAAGAACGCCCACAGGATCGGGCCCTTTAAGGATGATGGCACTCCCAGACCAGTTATGGCTAAGTTTTTGTATCGTCCGGAACGGTTTAGAGTCATTAAAAAGAAGAGGGATCTACGTGATGGTGTGCGCGTTTCGGATGATTTGATATGGGAATATTCTATGTGATCCTTCCCAGATTAGGTGTTGTTTGGGGGGACCCCAAGATATTTAAACTTGTTAACTCTTTCTAAACTCGTGTTACTGATTTCTATAACTCCTCCGATGGGCACCAACAAGCATAATCTTCGTTTTTTTTTTTCAAGATTTAGTATTAGAAAATTAAAGTGAAGTCAGCTTAGGACATTAGTAAGGCCACTAGTTAACTGAGCTTGAATTTTACTGACTGACTTACTTTCAAAATATATAAGTGTATCGTCAGTATGAAGCACGACGCTACAACCTTGAACCGCCAGAAGTAAGTCATTTATGTACCCTAGGGGACCACGAAAGACATAGGCTGGGGCTCGGACAAGAACCCATTACTGCAAACACTTTGGGTGCGCATGGTTAACTAGGACCTAAACCATTGGACAGCAGAGCGATTCATTCCTAAAGGAGTTAACTTATCTAACATGATGCCATGATTTAAGGTGTCAAGGGCCTTGCTTAGGTCTAAAAATATAAGGCCAGCTAATAGTCCTTTGTCAATGCCTTCCAGCAGAGTGTTTGTCACGTGTGTAAGACACAGTCAATGCGCTTGTCATTCGTTTCACTCCAAGATACAAGGTTATTAGGTGCGAAAAACAGTTCAGGGACGATTTCACTCAACTTCATTTAAGGTCGTTTATGCTTTAATTAGAGGATCCTAACGAACAAGTAATCGCGTTCAATACTTTTATTTCGGACTGTTTAGAGTGACATGCACCCTTAAAGCGTGTGAGGGTGACAAGACCACCTGCGTTCTGGTTGAATGATCCGAACATTCGAACGCTGCAGGAGGCATGCGAGAGTTATCGTAGGAAAGCACACACACCCCCTCACAGTGAGGCTGCGTGCGACATCTTCAAAGACGCCCATAATAGTCTTAAAAAACTGATTGGGAAAGCAAAGAGAAGGTTTATCACCAATGCACTCTCGTATAAGCGGCCCAACGAAGTATGGAAGACGATCCATTGCATACTTCACCCTAGCCAGCAACCAATAACTGTCTATCCGGATGATAAGCACTTTGCTTCTGCAGCTGAGTGTGTAGATGCCTCAGTAGGGACTTTAAGATACAACGACGCGGACGGCAACGAGAAGGTCAAAAAAACAATAGGTTTAATAAGCAAAACAACAACTTCGCACGTGCATCACACTTTTTTTGTACATTTCTCCCCCGTTTTTGAACGATTACGACGTGAAAATGCCTTATTTCGCGTTTCAATGAGGACGTAAACAAGCAACGACAAAATTTTATTTCTCTTTCTGAGCTTAGATCAAGGTCAGTCGAAATTCGGTTTCAGGAGGGTTTGCATTTGACAAAGTAAGCGGGTAGGAATAATCGCTATAAAGACTCAAAGAACGCAAATTCACTTTTTAAGAGACGTTCTCGTTGTCGTCACATCGTTGGATCTTAAAGTCCCTAGTGGCAGTTGATAAGGAGGAGCTGCATAGGCGTATTAATGCGCTTGCGCAGGACCCTGATACCTCTTTTCGTCTGAAGAGTGTTACCTATATGAAGTTATTCGGTAGATCAAAGCCCTGCGGTCCGACTGCTCTACTGGTCCGGATAACATTCCAACCAAATTCATCAAGCTAGTCCCAGACCATTTAGCATCGCCTTTAACGCATATCTTAAACACGTGCATTTCGAAACTGGACTTTCCAACTCTTTGGAAGGTTGCACCCATTAGTCCCATTCCTAAGGTGGGCGAACCCCAGGCAAATGACGACTTTCGCCCTGTTTTCATTTCGCCTGTGTTATCAAAGGTTTATGAAAGACGGTCTTGACGACAAATGGTGGATTTTCTCACGGAAACTGCGCGGCTTCAGCCAAATGTAAGTGCATAACGCAGAAGCCACTCAACTAAAACTAGTTTACTTGCAATAAGAGATGATATCCTCATGGCAGGAGCAAGAGTAAGACGTTTATTTTACACTCCCCTGCTGGGCTTTTCAGTGATACAAGACAAAGCAATAATTCATTATCAAGTATATACAAAAAAATATCTACCCAAAAAGAAAAAAAATTACTTAAGTTTCCCTTTTTAAAATTCCTATGATACAATAAAAAGTTAAAACCTACAAAACGCTCGCGGATCAAGAAATTTAAGTAACAATATCTGCCTCAGTTTCTGTTTAAAATCCCTATGATTCTTACTTAATTTGAGGTCTTTATCTAGGCTGTTCCACAAACTGACAACTCTGTACTGGAATGATCGCTGACCAGCAGCTGTTTTAAATAAAGGCATATTTAATTGGTTTGAATTGCGTATCACGCGGCCAAAAACTTGGCCTCTGGTAACTACCTTGGATGTGAGGTAATCTGGGACACAGCCCGTCATACGTTTAAACGCAAAAATAGCGTCTCTTAAATATAATTGCTGTCCTACAGGTAACCAGCACTAATCCCGGAGAATTGGAGAGATATGATCGAATTTTCTCGCTCCACTAATCATCCGGGCGGCAAGGTTCTGGACGTGTTGCAAAAGTACGTATATGTCTGTCAGAAGTGTTAGACCAGACCGCCGAGAAGTAAAATAATTTACAGAAAACAAGCACGTTAATTAAATTCGCTAGAAAGTCTAAATTAAAAGCGTGTTTTGCGCGGTTTGTCTGGGGTAACTTAGAAATACATGAAGCAGTGAGAGCTGAGATATGGCAATCATTAATGTCAGGGTAGGATCAAATATATCACCTAAGTCCTTAACGGAGTTTGTAGGTAATGAACAGGTCACCATTGCAATTATGGCAGACTTTTCTAAAGCTTTTGATACAGTTGTGTATGACACATTTCTGTGCAAATTGCGTAAGCTAGGGTTTTCCAAGTCCTCTCTACATTAGATTGTGAGTTATTTGACTGATCGAAAGCAGTACGTCCAAACCGATGATCGCTCGTCGGAACGCTTAAATGTGTCTTTTGGGGTACCAGTAGGGATTCATGCTGCGTCGCCTCTTATTCAACCTTTATGTCAACGACTTGACTGACGTACTCCCAACCGAAGTAAATTGCCATCAATATGCGAACGATATTACGATTTATAGTCACTGTAAACCATCTGAGCTTCTGAAGGTTGTCGGGCAGAGAAGCAGGCTGTCTACCTGGTCGTCCCGATGTAACTTGGCGCTCCATCCTAAGAAGACTAAAGTAATGCTTCTTTCAACTCCCCAGATGTCACAAACTCATGGACTAGACGGACACTGCATCCATCTCTGCGCAAATGGAAAGAGTCTCCAGCGAGTTTTAACTTTCCACCTACTTGGTACGGAAGTGCACGAAAACGTCAACTGGAAAAGAGCGATAAACTGCAAGATCTCAAGCTGTTACGGAACTTTGTCTGTGCTGAAGAAGCTGAAATACCTTGCCCAGTATAATGTCAGAAAACACTTGGCATAGTGTCTTATTTTGTCAAGAGACTCTAGCGAGTACAGTTAGCGGCTGCTAAGCTGTCTAGCTGGTCATCCCGATGTAACTATGTGACTACACGGACACTCCATCAATCTCTGCGCAAATGGAAAGGGTCTCGAGCGAGTTTCAACGTTCCGCTTAACGGCTGCTAGTTTTCTTTTAGGGCGCTACGCAACCAAGCTTGATTTGCTTTATTAAAAACGTTCATACACTCCCATAGTTCCCTCGAAAACCATACCCGTTCCCAGACTAAAATGGGCAAATTCTATACCCGTTTTCAAACCAAAACGGCCCAAAAACCCTACGCTTTGGGGCGGCACATATCTGGCTTATATATGGGAGTACCCCCCCCCCCGGATAACCGTAGGCCCATGTGGGTTAGTGTTGTCTAATTCTAAAGTGGATAAGGTGACTCCGCTGTTTTTTAAAAGCAGATCAAGTTGCTAGCTAGGAAATGCGGTGCTCTTCCGATTAAATTGTAATTATTCGAGAGGGCGCTTTTTGATTTTTTGACTTTATTAGAGGGCGGCCCTCTTTCAACAAACTACGGTTTTCATTTCATATGAGGGCCTTATTACACTTGTCGCTCAGCTGCATTACATTTGAAAATTTTTACGTTTCTCGTCAATTATCACATTTCTGGCTTCAATGGCCTTACTATCCGTTTTACTGCTTTCCGAGCGGGTACATATAATTCTTTTTTACGCTGCACCACACGATTCAAATAACCATCGCTGCATTCGGCTGGTGCTACTTTTGTAACCATGCGTCTGTCGAGGTATATCAATTGTTCATTAAGTTTTTCTTTGTTGTAAGGTCGAAATTGCTCCATACGAAATGTCAGTTTTGTCCGCGACGTGCTTAAGATTGTCATATTCTTGTTTATATCAGTTATTCTTTTTATGTCTCTATATCCAATCGTTTATTGTATCTGACTGAATATGAGGACGGTCACTTACTAAAACATGCAGAGAAAACAAATCTTGCTTGATTTCATGCAGTGCCTCAAATATATATCATTATGTAAATATCTATTTACTAGGAAGCGTGAAAACCAAGCCTACCTACTGTACATGTATGTGGAGTCTAAAAAAATTCCTGTGTACTGTCAGATGGAAGCTGCTGAGCTTGTAACATACGGAGGAGGTGGATGGACGCTGGTCATGAAGATCGATGGCAAAAGGTAGCAGCAGCGATGCAACAACTTTAGTATTCATTGATATATACTGCCTGCGTTCATGCTTAGCTCCAGTCCCTCACTAATTCTTCATAATCAACCGCCGCGTACCATATTTGGAAGATGTAGGAAATATACATGATCGATTCTATGGTATATTGCCTGTTATTAAAAACTGACTCATTGGATAATGCAGTTCTAGCCATCATGGTATATGAGCCATTGTTATATTCCTAGACTTTCACTCAACTGAACAGGGACAGCCATTGGCTGACTCTTCGTCACGTGGCTTTGACTAAAATCAAATGTATCCCGATCGTGATACATCAAGCAATGTACCCCGCTCGGGATACGTTACAGCAAGTGATCAGAGCATGGTGGAAAGTGGCGTGACAGAAGGCGGGAAAAACACTGCCAGTTTTCTTTTTCGTGAATGAACGCAACAACGTTCACAATAACACAAACATGAAGCCTCAAGCTAAAAAGCAACGATTTTCAGCAGCTAGTGGAGGAAAAAGATGCAGATAATATAAGGAAAGTACTTTTTAAATCATTCATTCAGTGGTTTTGAGAATTAAATTTGTGTTCTTATAAGTACCGAGTCGTACTGTTTTGTTGCTGTTGAAGTACGCTGGAGTGAAAGACTAGAAATATAACAAAACACTTAATGTCAGGTCCCTCGGGAAACCAGTTAGTTTTGTTTTCCCTCCAGTCCTGATGTTTCCCTCGACTTCGTCTCGGGAAACATATCATCAGGACTCTTGGGAAAACAAAACTAACTGTTTCCCTCGGGATCTGACATTAAGACCCTGTTTACATGGAGTGGGGAACCCCGGTCTAGTGGGGTAAGTTTCTTTTGTTTTGTGTCCCCCAGAGCGTGAAAACAAAAGAAACCAACCCCACTAGACCGGGGTCCCCCACTACATGTAAACAGGCCCTATTTAGTGTATATTATACCATGCTCTCCAAATATGGTAACTGTATGCGTCTGCTCAAAATTTAAAAAAAAGCTGAAAATCGCTTGTTTTTTACATATAAAGTCGGGAAGAATCCTCGATACTGTTCTTTGGGTGTTTTTAAAAAACTGATTTTTTTAGCAATTCTCGGTCGCAATTTTAGCAAAAAATAGTTTAGAGGAAACTGCTCGAGGTTGATCGACGGGTATTTAACAATTATTTCACTCGCCCTTGTTGGATATGAGATGATTGTAGCCATCTCGGCGCTACACGCCTCGTTGGCTAACCACCATTTCATATCCAACGCGCACTCGTGAAGTAATTGTTAAATACCTATCGATCAACCTCGAGCAGTTTCCTTTAAACTATTTTTTTGCTAAAATTGCGACCGAGAATTGCTAGCAAATCAGTTTTGCGACAGATTGCAATCCTGGACATAAGTGAACGGGGAGCTGGTTTTAGGAAAGTAACTATTTAGTAAACAGCTTTTAAACAATACGTTTAAAGGAAGCTAACATACCGTCAGATTCCTGGCTTTTGGCTGGGGGTACAGGTATTGAAATATCAAATTTGGAAATTACCAATCCATACTGGACCGCACGGCATGGGAGTCTGTTGTGTAAACCATTCCGGCTCATGTTTAAAATTAGCTGTTAGTTACTTTTAAGCTTTGGTATGAATGGGGCATAGAGCGTGATTTCAATCCAGTGCAATCATTGGGGCAAGTTTTTTTAATAGCGCACGAACTAAACGTTTATTTTCTTAAAGGTTGATAGTTTCAGATGAATTGTTAGTTTTACAATGAAGGACCAGAATTTTTGTAATGGCGAAAAAGAACCATGCAGCCCAGTATCCATTCCTCTTAACCGAAGATTTGGTAAATCAAGGATTTATTGCATGGCCAAAAAGGAAATTGTTTCTCGCACAGACCACAGGATTCGCTTCATCTTGACGGGTTGTATAACGGCCAGTCATATAATGTAGCCTCTTCACGCTGGCTCACTAGTTCACCGAGATGGCAGCCATTGACCATCATCACAGCGAAATGTTTAGAGGAATCTCGCCATGTCACGTCATTTACCTCGCTGGGGTATTTATTACATTATTTTAATTCTTACCAGGCGTTTGATTGTCTTAGCTTAGATATCCTCAAAACTACTTGGGGAGGGGGAGGAGGCTGGATGTAGTTGACAACCAGGGCCCAGAAGGCCAAATTGGATAATCTTACAGACGTTTGGAGGAGAATGTGACTGCTGTGATATCATGTGAAAACAGTTTGTTAATTGACGATATATCATTTTAACTGTTAAGAATACCTTTCATTACAGTTCAATTTTGTGGATCGACCATAATCCCTCTGCGGGAAAGACCTTGCTTGATCATCTAGAAACAAAATTACCCACCTACTGGAGAACACCATTCACTAAGATCTGCCTCGCTATGAAGATCGGCCATCAAGTTAATTCGATCGTCATCAACAAACAAGCCAACTCCTTACACTCCCTGATCGCTGACGGAAACTACCGTTCGACGTCACTGGGTCGTCACACCTAGAAGAGGCTGATTGGCCAACAGGCATCGCTGCAGAGAAATTGTAACAGGGAAGGTTTCAATTCTTATTCCTATTATAGCAAAGCAAGAAGTCGGTATCATAAGTAACCAAGAAAACAACTGTGATACCTGTGACTCCAGAATTGGGTTTGGGACTGGGGGACATGATGGTGATGACAACACCTGTGGAAACTGGGCACGGTATGGTGGGGACAATGGCAATAGGGACATAAAAGCCATGGGTTACATCTTGGTGCAATGAGTATCAAACAATCTGCTTCCAGTTCACGCCGCGCGATGATTAATGGAATTTACAACGTTTATACAAATTGGAGACTTATCAGTACGCAACAATAATTACTGTTTAGGCCAGGACGATTTGTAGAAATTCAGTTGAATAAAGGCATTGCTTAAAACAAAGAGGGGGGCGTAAGGGGGGTCCGAAAACCGCAAAACCGCACAGAAATACGCCAAAAAACCGCAAACCGCATCGGATTTTTTCCCGAATACCGAAACCGCGCGTACATGTAGGCCACAATATGAAAGCTGACGTCAGCAAGACTTGTGATATATTCTGACTAGGAGTAATCGGAGCTTAGGAGAGTGCGTTCGATATGTTTGTTAGGCATACAGGTAGCAGTTGAGGCGAAAGGGTGGTTGCGATATCGATAAATGTGATTATGGCATATTTTGAACGTATTAGGGTTGCGTACAGCGAAACCTCTATTTAAACTGTGTATCATAAGAACGTTTTCAAAAGATATCGTATGGTTCGGTGTCAAGTGCTTTAAATCGGAGGAGACATTGGCCAGAGTGCGTTGTAAATGGAACATTTTGTTTTACTGGCGCGAGTTACAGGGCGCAGTTACTCAAAGGCCGATTAGTGCTTAACCCGGCATTCGTTTTCTTTCTTCAAAAACATTTCTTCGGATAATTTTCTCTGTTATTTTTAAGAGCATCCAATCATCAACTTGTTGACAAAATGAATTGCATTGAATTTACTGTTTTAAAAGCTTTCACATCTGAATTCAAACTTCGCACTAACCCTGTCAAAGCCTTCAATGGTACGTGTGTGCGGCTCACGTCAATAACGTTTCCAGTAATTTGGTCCGGCGTGTTGATTTCAGTGACTCGAGAGTGGCGCTACTGTTGGCTGGTTTATAAGTTTTTCCTAATAAATAACATAGAGTTAAAGTGTTCGTTTGTCCGGTGCCGAAAATATCACAAGTCATGATCAAATGGCGCCGCCGAGCTTCACATCTCGGTAGATTTACTTTGTGACACAAGGGCTGCCGAGCTACACAACTCGGTAGATTTACTGTTTGACACAACGACCGCCAAGCTACACAACTCGGTAAATTTACTTTGTGGCATAACGGCCGCCGAACTTAACATGGTTTGATGCATGCACCAGGAGTCGCAGACATTTTCCAAAGACAGTGACGAACCATGCTGATAAAAATGTGAAGGCTTAATCCAAAGTAAAATTTAACAGCAAACTTCTGAAAGATGAACGCTTTAGACGATTCAGCAAACACATATCGATGTACGCTTTACGAAGATTCCACAAACTTTTTAAAAGATGAACGCCTTACGAAGACAGAATATTAGACCTTAGACTAGCCTCCCATGCAGGCGTTTTTAGGGGGAGCTCGTTTTTCATCCCTATGAAAAACGAGCTCACCTAAAAACGCCTGCGTGGGAGGCTAACCTTAGACTTGCTACAAGTCGACCTCTTGGCGAGCGGAGCGAGCCTTGTTTGGCCGCGAAACGGCCGACCGCGAGCGACGATATGAAATCCGACGAAGGACTTTTGGAAAGTCTAATCAGACCTCAGCAAACCTTTGAAAGATGAACGCCGAGGACACAAGAATCACCGCATGGGTTAGCGCGTCAAAGTGATGCAAAACTTAAGCAAGCGCCTCAAAGCGAGGCAAATGTGTGTCGACGACGATGACTAAAATGCAGTCTCAAAAAACCTCCCTTATTAATTGCACAGGACACCCAATAATGCACACAACACCCAACTCAAATTAGGGGTTGCGTTCTCGTACCTCGAACGCAATAACATTGTGCGTTAGTATTAAACATACCATCACAACGCTAACGATATATTGTACTACACTATTATACTCTATTTACTACTAACCAAATGCCAAGTATGCTTGTCATGTACTTGAACGAGTAGTGATATCTCCCTTGATTTTGAAAAACTCTGTCACTGATCCTGTACGTCTTACATTGGGTGACTGATTACTTTGGACGACCCTGTGCTAGTTGTGGAACGCGGAATAAATGTTTCTTCTGGACATGTGACCTTCTTGTCTCGTAAAGAGTTCACGTTCGGTGGAGAAGCCGATTGTTAAAACGTACAGCTCTTCTGAAATTCTCCCCTTCCTTTCCTTCTTCATAGAAGATTGCCACGCAATTAATTATTACGTCCTCTTCGCTTTCAGTTGCGACCTCGACTACCTCAGTTGCCATTGTCGCGCATTGAATCAAAGCAACGAGAACACGACGCTGTAAGGCTGTACGAGCTAACATCCGGTAACTAATTTTTTTACGCATCACTGGCCACATTAAGTATTAACTGGAAAAGGCCGTAATTGCAAACCACAGAGTTAAATTGTAAGCTGATATAATGAACCCTGATGCGTTGTAAAACAAAACACTTGGCTTGCGCTTGCAAAACAACCGGATGCCGACCGTTCTAAAGAGTGTTATCACCGCAGACACACTATTTATTCACCGAAAACCGCGACTTAAAGGTTGTAATAACCGCAAACCGCCTAGTGTTTTGAAACCGCAATACCTCGAGTTAAAATAGAAATTACCGCAAAATCGCACCAAAAATAACGCAAAACCGCATCACCGCATACCCTTACGCCCCCCTCAACAAACAGTTTCTCTCTGTTTTCCTCTGTCTCCATCATTCCTGGCCGTACGATCAGGCCGTTCCGTGAGCCACATCAGTACTTGATCCCGAAGCAATACCTCAGAAATGCCTCTCTTATATTGGTACGGGCCGAGCATACTGCATTCCCCATCCCCTCTTCGGCACACACTTCCTTCCCCAAAATTACCACGCTACGCCCCTGATTCGGAATACCACACGTTTCGCGGAGAAACAGAGTAAGAACAGCAAAATTGGACAGATTACAACTGCCTTTTGGAGAATATTTGCTAGACTTAGCATCTCTTCTTATCCTGAATTTGCCGGGGAACAGGCTACTGAACACGGTAAATTGACATCCATCTAGACATACATGTTTTTTAAGTAAATATTATTTTGAATGAACAATAAAACAGTTATTGGATTCGGCTTTCCTTTCGTATGATGTGAAAATTATTGAGAGCAATTTGGTAGTAAGCAGGAAAATGCATGCATGGGATCGTCTTAATATAATTTATGCAGAATTAAAAACTAAGCAATGCTGAGAAGACAAACAAACAAAAAATAAACACGAAGCATGGTTATGCAAGAACTGGTTAAAGAGAATGTCTTTATTTTAGTTTTTGAGCTAGTAAGTTGTGATGAGGGTTATACACAGGACGAAAAAACAAGAATCCGTAAACTTAAACATGGCGGAAACATGTGACTCCGTTGCGGAAACACAGCGGCAAACGCGTGTTTCCATTAGCGAATACATTACGCTTTTTCATGTTTCTGTCTTCGTTCCCTGGTCCTTGGTACGAAAATATATGAAACCTGGTCATTGCAAGGTTATCGTATCGCGTTTTCAGGCAAAAACTGTGACCACTGTTGCGCTTACCAACTAATTTGCATTATGACAATTAACACTTACACGACGGGTGCAAGGGCGGAAATGACTCGTTAACTAGGCTCTTGCACTGTGAAGAAGTGAGCTCTTTCACCCGTCGTGTGAGTGCTAATTTTCATAATGCAAATTAGTTGGAAAGCGCAACAGTGGTCACAGACACTGGACGAAAGCCAGACGTGCCTCGAAGTCCGGCACAAATGGCTCGATTTGATGGGGAAATTAAAAAAGCTTTTTTCGAGCCGATCTCTTAGAGAGGATGAAGAGGTCTCCCTCTTGGGTTGGAGCAGAAAAAATTTGCAGCGGACTTAAATTTCGGCGAAAAAACGGCATTTTTGTTGCGACTGGTCCAGGACCCTGCCAGATCGAAATGACCAGCCTTGACTTCGTCTTATGAAGGAAGTAACAGTGGTTATGCACTAATCCCAAGAAATCCAGTAAGACGACAAGCAGACACCAAAACACAGTGGAATACATCACAGGTAAGTCTTTTTTGTTCATTTCATTGAGGAAAAATTAGGTTTAACGTCATTTAGTGTTTGCAGATCTCAGTATTTTATTTCTCACACAAAATCTCTTATTTTCAACGGTCACCTGTAATGCGACACCTGCGCGTCCGTCCAGCACAGGACACGCGTCACCCATGATGACGTCATCATTTCAAATGAATTTGGTCGGTATGTACTAAATTACTTTACCCTTTTCTCGTAACGTGAGTTTGCGCCCTGTGATTGCATCTTAAATTTTCGAGAAAATGATACTTGTTATATACCGCTGGACTTATTGTATCGCACCTACAGTTATTGTTTGTTGTAGTTGTAGTTGTAGTCTTAACCAATCATAATAAACACGCTGGTTGACTTGTGATCCAACATGGCGTGCATGTGGTGAATACATAACATGGTGTCGAAGTAGTGGGATTTCGAACCACAAAGACAACACAAACCGGATAAACATGGCGGAAGGATACGCTAATTCAGCGTACAACTGGCCGAACATGAATTGGGCAGCGGCAGATTTGAGCAAATAATGGGAGAGGTTTTATCAACACTGTGAATTTACCTTCGGCGGGCCTCTCAGCAAATGCACCGTGAAGGAGAAAATATGCAACCTCATGAGCTTTGTTGGCGATAAAGGCCGAGAAATTATTTGACTTTCAACTGGCAAACGGTTCATGTTCAAGTAGGGACGGGAGACACTGCGCAAAATGTCAGCGAAAAAGAG